CCTGGCCTGGCAGAAGTGTCTCTCTGGCACCCGTCCCTCTGCCAGGAGGGCTGGGGGCTCTGACAGCCCGCTCGCTCCCTTCCCTTCTCTTTTCCAGATGAGTTTGCCACACAGGAGTACAGCGCTCCCTGCACCGCAGGTAGGGTACCGAGAGCCCTTCCCTTCTTCACAGTTCTCTACATTTTCTTCATTGTATATTTGGTCTTCCAGCTAGTGCTTGTCTCTTTCTGCTCAATGGATAATTTGGATGAGATTGGCCCAACTCACAGGCACAGGGTTTTTATGCAAAACTGAGAGCATGGGAGGCACAACATTGTTGACTCCTTCAAAATCCACCATCGCTGAATTCTCAGAGTGGTTTCCATAGTCAGGGTCTTCTGGCTTTAATGAAGGTTGTGTCCCTATTGTTCTTCTACTGCCCCTTGGACTTCTTCTTTGAGGTCAAGTTTCTTACATCATTCTTGTTGTCTCAGATTTGAAGTATCTTCTGGTCCTTCCTGAGAGCTCCAGCTAGGGTAGCTGTGGTATCATGCTGAGGGGACTTGGCTCTTTCAAACCACCCGGCACACACTTACCCAAAAGCACTCTGTCTAGAGCAATAGAGCAAATCAAGGCCACCAAAAGATATCCCGTAAAGCAGCATGTCATGGTCTGACCTACCGTGATTTCATGTTATGCTCCAGAACCTCCTGCCCAAACCCGGCATACCTTTTCACTAAAGCTGTAATGTCATGCTTCCTACTCTGAGCATGGAGCCATACCTGCAATAGGAAGTCTGCATTACAGAGGAATCCCTCCCAACCCTTGTTATTGAAGAGGTAAGTGTTTTGCTCTTATAGGAACTTGGGCTTGCCTCTCTTGTATGGTGACAGAAAACTGCCCTGGTGGTAGACCCCCACCTGCACACACAGCCACATCACTCGTCTGGGGGGGGTCATAGTTCTCCAATATGGCACTCTAGCCTACTTAGCAACTGCATGTGGTAAAGCCCACAGTGGTGCTGGCACATTGCAGCATGCCTTTAAGCAATGCCATTCTCCTTGGATCCCGAGAGGTGGCAAGTTTGCCTTTGGTAGCTGCTTCCTGCTCAGCCACCCTGCTCCTCAAGCAGGAGGGGGGGTCTCTCAGGAGGCAGGTATTCCTCATGATCCTTGACAGCCAGCCCTCAGTCTTGGTTTGGAGTCTGAGCCAGCAGGACAGAGAGGCTATGATCTTTGGGGGATTCTCTGCAGCGCAAGGGCACAGGTGTTTGGCTTAGGAGCACAGGTAATATAGGAGCTTCTGTGAAAGGCCCTCAGCAGCAATACTTCCCCTGTCCTATATGGAGTCTTCCAGTGTGAAGACTGGCAGGTCTGGCTTCCCATCAGTTGCCCAGTTTCAGGTATTTGGAATATGGAGGCTTCTGGAAAGCACTGAGACCCTGGGAAGTGGTTTTTCACAGAGCCTGACTGTGGCATCTGAGACCAGAGAAAAAGTGATTTGGGCTTGGGGAAGGCAAAAACTATGTCTCTTGCTGGTGGTAAATGATGAAATTTATATCTCCTTTTGTGTTCATATCTGGTGTCTTGGAAGAGAGCCCAAGCTCCCACGCTTTTACTCCATACTGCTTGCTAACCTGGGCTGCGTCCGTAGGTGCATCTGTGTTATGCTGATTCTGGGCCTACAGCCTCCCTTCATGGAAAAAAGGTGCATAAGTCCTAAGACAGACACGGAGTGGACAGTAAAACATTTCCAAAGGTTATGTTGGTGTGGTCTGGCTGTCCAGTGTGAGACTAGGGGGGAGGCTTTAGATTTTAGGCTGCTCTTCCTCATGTGCACTAAAAGACAGCAATTTTATCCTCCTTGGAAAAGATGATGGGAAATTGCTAGTTAAGAGGTCCATCTTCTGGTCTAGGTGTTCAAAGGTGCTCTGCACTGAGTAAAAGGCAGATCTCAGTTGCAAAGCAGAAGTCTGCCTTCCCTGCTCTGAACAGTGCTGTCCACTGGTGCAGCACATTCCTTCCACTCTCTGCAGAGAAATAAATACAGTTTAAGAGCATGTCTCATTGCTGCAGTGAACATCCTTGCTGCCTGTTTGCACTGTGCTCCTGTGTCCATCCCAGTTGTGACAAATTCCATTCTGCTTATCTCTCCCAGTGGGTCAGAAAGAGTCTCAGCCTTCTCTCAACCTCACATTGCTTTGAAGGTGGCATGAGTGCTGAGTGCTATGGATGACCCTTAACCCTGGTCAAACAGCAATTCACTCTCCTGTACTGTGCTTCACACACAACCTGGCTTCCCAAACCCACATCTTGCTCTCTCTGTCTCTCAGCCTGAGAGGGGGAACTGGCATACCTCTCTAACTCCTGTACCCTCCCATCTTCTTTCATCCTTGCAGAGGAAGTAGACCAGGGCAATGCATGAAGAATACTCCCAGTTGCTGGAACCCACCCGCCTCACTACCACCACCACCATCTATGGAGAGGATGGAGTGACAGATGAATAGTGTCTGCAAGGAATGGGAAATGAACGTTACAAATAAATTAGCTGTACTCACCAATAATTTTGGAACAGTGTATTCCCAATTCTGTTTCTTCCTGCTCAGCCTCCAGTCACAGCTTTAATCTCCCTGGCTTCTTAAGTTGAAGAGCATCCCATCCAGCCATGCCTCTGTGCAGGGCAATAAGGCTGACAAGTGAGGACGGAATGATTTAAGTTGGGGTCAGCCTTTCTAATGTAGCCCTCTCAGTTTTATGTACTCTGAACTTGTCACCTGAGATCAACAGAGAAGGACAGGTACTTTCTGAGAACAATTTCTCTCCCCTGGCTTAGAAACCATAAGCTTGATTGAACTGGTCTCTGCAGGTGCCTATCCGTGTCTCCCACCGGTAGGCAGCTTGGATAATCAGCTAATGTTACATGAAATTCAGCCTCTGCGATGTGCCCCGTAGACACCCCTTCCAGGACTGTTTCTTCTGTGTAGAAGAGTTGGAGGAGATACACAGTCTGCCCTTCTGTAAGATTAGAGTGTGCATGGGGGGGCAGCAGGGATGTGTGCATGCATTATGCCTTCAGCTGCTAACTTACAGTGGCCTGTTCTCCAGTTGAAGCTTGGGCCTTCTTGTGGAAACTTCCATATCTTGTGCCTGCTGCTTCTGGGAGATTCCCAAGGAGAAGCTAATGGCATTTGCCAGTAACCTACTTACCTAAGTCTAGTTTAAATGGCACATTTATTTAAATCATAGAGTTGCTTTGGTGAATCTGTCCATAATCCTCTTAAATATCTCCCAGAACGCTCCCCTTTTCTTGGTTTCGTGCCATTAATTTCTGGTTTTAACTTTTGAATGGCAGAAAGATCTTATGTGACTGTTTATTCTCATGAAATTTACTGTTAGGTATCATGGCTTATTGTGTATCCAAAGTACGCACAGCTAGTTGTTCCATCCCATTTTTTTTAGTGTCCCTATCCAAACAGTGTTATTGAGAACAAATAAAGTTCTTCATCTATTTTGCTAGATACTAATATTATGTCACTTTGTCTCCTGTGGTGTTTGGTGTTTACTCACTCAAGACCTTTTTGACACCTCATATTCAGACAAGTCTATGGAATTAACTGGCTTCAGTGAAAGCTGAGCAAAATTTCTAATCAAGCATGAATACTAATTGCATTTTGTTTTGATTTAGAAACAGTAAAACCATCTAATTTCCTACCATGAGGCAATTACTATCCCAAAGCAACATAGTTGTTGGTTGCTGTGTGAAATTGTTTTGATTTTAGACCATTGTGATTTGCCTTTGAAGCATGCAGTCCTTGCTCCATGGGGACAGAAATTCTATGTTCAGACATTCCTGTACTTCCTTAAGGTAGCCTTGCTAAAGTTTC